CCCAAAAACTGACCACTCAAATTCACCACCCTCTCGAAACCTGGGTCCAAGGGTAATAAGGAATGGCCATAGGATATTTTATTACTCTGTTTTTTTTTTTTTTTTTAATTCCATAGGGGAAAAAAACAGGAAATCTCCAGAGAAATAGATTGGTGGATACGGTCAATGGTCATGCGGAATTTCTCCTGACAAATTCGACAAACCAATTCTCCAACCTGGTTGACAAAATTCCTGCAAAAAAGAAAAAAAAAGAAAAAAAAGAAAAACAAGAAAAACAAGAAAAAAGAAAGACACCCACACAAAGCGGAAACAAGCGACCAACAGATATGGAAACAATGCAAAAGTCAATACAAATAATCGGGCCATGTTTCTACAATACAGATACGCACAGCAGAGCCGTACCTGGCTGCAACTTCTTTTTTCTTCTTTTTATTTTAGCTACCCACAGCAGAGCCGTACCTCGCTTCAACTTCTTTCTTCTTCTTTTTATTTTAAATCCCACAAACCGAGGGGCTCCACACAAGATGGCTTCTAATTCACCAGGTGTTCACTTCGGTTTTCACCATAGCTGTGCTTCATGTTGTCATCTACGATACTAGTCGCGTTCGGGACTATTCGCTTTATCCTGTGTCTTCTCCTTCACTGTCTCACTCTTTGGTCTGGTTTTCCCTCATGATTGTGGTCTTGGCGTTGTCTGATGAGTCATTGTCGATGTGAATGGCATATTGATACACTATTACACATACATACATACCTCAGCCTCATCCTCTGTACTTCAACAGTTCAGTTAAGCGGCGTACCAACTGAGCTAGGCCAATTGCTGAGGTTCTTTTCGTTTTCTTCCTTTTTTTTTTGTTTTTTTTTTCTTATTTTCTTCTCTTTTTCCTTTTTTTTTCTTTTTTTTCCAGGTACCAGAAGTAACCTCAAGAGAGGCGACAGGAGCGGTTGCAGTTAGATAGAGCAACTTCAGTTCAGGGTAGGGAATGGGGCCTCACTCCACTACACAGCACTCTACACGCATTTGGACGCTTTGCCAACCCAATACATTCGAAAAGTTGAGACTTGCCGGAATGAACCTGGTCGGGAAAGCTTCCAAATGCATGTCAGTTAGATAGAGCAACTTCAGTTCAGGGTAGGGGATAGGGCGTCACTCCACTACACAGCACTCTACACGCATTTGGACGCTTTGCCAACCCAATACATTCGAAAAGTTGAGACTTGCGGGAATGAACCTGGTCAGGAAAGCTTCCAAATGCATGGAGTGTGTTGTGTAGCAGAGAGATGCCCATAGTCTGTTCAGAGGACTAAAAAGTTTCCTTTTTTTTTTCTTTTTTTTTTTTCCTTCTCTCAATTTCACCTTTCACTATCTACCTACCACTACTCCTAAGCCTTTACAGGGGACACCTGCAAGCATAGCTACGTCTCCCAATTAAGGGGGGTGCATGCTGGCCCCCCAGGAGCAGTCCCACTAGCAGCGTTGAGTTTCCTCGACACCTGCAAGCATAGCTGCCTCCCACAATTAAGGGGGTGCATGCTGGCCCCGCAGGGGCCAAGTCCCACTAGCAGCGTTGAGTTTCCACAACGCCTGAATCTGGACGTGTTTGTGGAGACGTGCAGTTCAGGAAACTCAACACCATTTCTGCACATCTCCGCAAAAGCGTCCAGATTCAGGCGTGTTGAGGTAGCTAAACGCTGCTAGTGGGACTTGGCCCCAGGGGGCCATCATGTCAATTAATCTTCTGTCGCGCAGACTAAAAAGTGGGTACAGAGTGACCTTCGGGACATGCGTTATTATAATAAAATTGGACTAAAATGCTACATAGGCTACCAGCCGGGCCGCCCGGGTCACCCTTTTTTCCCGGGCGACCCGGCCGTGCAAGGACCAGGGAAGGCCCCAGCCAAAAAAGAAAAAAATCAAAAAAATTCAGTCCAAAAAAATCCTAAAAAAAACTATGTTATGCAGAAAAATAAACTAAACAACTTTTGCCTCAGCACCACATCGAAGTTCTCTACCAAATTCTAAATAAAATTTTAAATTAAAAAATAATTTCTATTTTTTTTATTTTTTAATTTCTTTTTGGCCCGTCCGGGCAAGTGGTCCCAGGCCACTCTGGTAGCCAAGCTAAAAAGTGGGTACACAGTGACATTCGGGACATCCCTTATTATAAAATTATAAAATTAGACTGAATAGTGGGTACAGAGTGACCTTCGGGGTTATAAAATAAAATTGGACTACAAAGTGGGGTACAGAGTGACCTTCAGGACATCCGTTATTATAAAATTGGAACGATACAGAGAAGGGTTTTTTTTTTTTTTTTTTTTTTTTTGAGAAGCTGACAATTCTTGTTGCAAATTTATAATGGTCGAGGCCGGGGACCTCACAATTCAACCCGGAAGTGGAGGAGAAGGTTAATTACTGGTAACATGGCCCCTGCGCAAGGATGACAAGGTCGTCGGTTCAAAAATCCCTGTGCTCGCACGGAGGAGGGCTTAAGAAGACCCAAGGGCGTGGTCCCACTAACAAAAGAGGATCGGATCGAATGCCTGAATCTGGACTTGTTTGTGGAAAAGTGCAGAATGTTGAGATTGAACTGCTTTTCCGCATCTCTTCTTAAAACACGTCCAGATTCAGGATATTTAACCAACCCTCTTTGCTAGTGGGACCTCACCCCAGCCAGATGTACGGATCCATAACTACTAATTCTGTCATTAACCCAGGTCGACTTGTGAGGTCCCCAGGGCAAGGTCCCACTTACACGAATTATTAAGCGATATTGACCGTAGATAGCAAAGATCAACGGCCAGAATCTCTTCATCCGTGCAAGTGGGACCTTGCCCCCGGCCTCGAATCTTCTTTTTTTTTTTGGTAATGAATTGACGACGGAGGAGGGCTTAAGGCCCAGATGTACGGATCCATAACTACCGATGCTGTCATTAACCCGGGTCGACTTGTGAGGTCCCCGGCCTCGAATTTTTTTTTTTTTTTTTTTTTTTT